AAACGGCCCATCTGACGCCCAGGTCCACAGGCACACAGATACACCCTATCGCAGCAGTAACAATAACGACGAGAAAATTAAAAAGCCAACATTTATGTCGATATAAGGCATACATATTTCTCGATGAAGTAAGGAGCTTGAGAAACTGTAATGGGTTTTAATAATCATTGGACCGAAAACAGTTAAAAGGCTAAACTGTTATGCTGTGTACATTTACTTTGATTAAGAACCAACTTTTGCGTGAGGTTCCTACGTACCGCCAAGCAAATATGAGACAGTGCCTTAAAAAATTTAAAACGGGCTCCTTCCATGTCCAATAAATTCACCATTCTGATAACCGACGCCATGTAACACGTATAACCGATAACTAATTCCACAGAGCAGAGTCTTTCTTAAGAAACTATCAGTACAGCAGAGATAGATAAGAAATGCCCGTTTTATGAAACCCGAAGGTACATTATCTTTTTCATAAAAGCCCGCCACCGGTCCCCAACCTGAGCCACATGCCTCCAATCCACACCCCAAACCCGATTTCCTTGAGTTACACTTTAATATTATCCTCCATCTACACCTAAGTCTTCAGAGTGGTCTCTTCCCCTCAGGCTCCAGAACCAAAATTTTGTACGAAATTGTCATTTCTCACAAATACGCTTCGAGATTTGATCATCCTAAGAGTATTCGCTGATGAATGCAGTTCCTCGTCATGTGAAGTATTCTCCAGCCTCTCCGTCACTCCACCCCACCTTAGGTCCAAATATTCACCTCAGTAACCTGTTCTCAAACACCATAATTTCTGTCTTTCCCTTAACATGAGACCAAGTTTCACACCCACATACTTCTTAACCGTATAAGTTGATTCACACATAATTTTACAAATGAAATAAATAATACTCTTTGTCTTTTAGACGTTTATAAACATGCCTATTACAGTAAAATTCCTTTGATCAATAAAATACAATTTACTATCTCCACTGTGCTGAATCTTTCTTCGATAATCGCTTAGCTGGTCAATAAATTTCGATATTTTTATGAAACCAAGAGGTGCATTCATGTTCGCTTTGTACTCGGAGAAAACCGAACCCGGTCCACAAGTCGACAGGCTACAACATTCGCGTGCTTTAAACAAGGCGGTACCATGACCTTGAAGGTGACTTACCGCTGAGGACACACAGGCCAAGAGCCACCAGGGCCACGTTCGTGAACTTGCACTTCATTGTCGAATGGCGAGTCCTACTTCGAGATGTGTTACCTGAGGAACGAAGCGTTTACTATGACCGCTCGCCGCTGACTAACAGCTGAACGCCGTTCCAGTTCCGTATTATATGCCAGCCTCCCTACATGCAACAACGGCGGAAGTGGACCCACCACAGCGCGAGGACGGAGCAAACACGAACATCGAAAAACATTTTTCACTCTACAGCCAAATCATGAAACCATATTCATAAATTTTACGGAACAGATATACAGAATTTTTCTAGGGAGTCGAATGGATAGGACTCCTACTTCGCATTCCAGAAGTCCCGGGTTGAAATCTCGGCCCAGATACCGGCTAATGTGATTGAGGTTTCCGTAGTTTTTTCAGTCCCTCCGGGCTCTTCCCGGAACGGAACCTTAAATTAGGTCATAACAGTTTCCTATCATGTCCTTTCAAATTCATTATTCATTAATGATCATAAGATTCGACTCTACATAGTTCGAGGTCGATAAATAAACCATGAACAAACAATTCATATAAACATTACAAATCCTCGTTGTAGTTCCAGAAAGCCTAGTGGCAAAACGATGAATAATTTAGAATTTGAAAGAAACATAACGTCCACAGCTGCTGAATTCCCTATTCATTCTTCCGCAAAGTCATTCTTTACATAAAAGGGAAATGATAAACACTTAAGACATATACAACCTGAAAGTTATGTTCATCATTGCCCACATCTGTAAATATGAAACTCAGTATCTCTGTTTATAATCACTAAAGTTAACACAGATTACAGATACAATGGTGCATGCTGACACAACAAGAAAATCAAACAAGACCTCAGTAACGTTGAGCCTCAGTTATCGTACCTGTAGCTCTCTATTCAAAATGTGTCAACATGATTTTGCTTCTAAACATTCTTTTTACAAACACACAGAAACATCAAAACCCAAAATACAGTTTCACTTGAAGTCAGTACATAATTAATTCATAGCCTGGAAATTCTTAAAGTAAACTGAACCCCGTGCATTAAAATTCGTCAAGTTCATTGCCTCCAAGCAGGATAACTACCTACACTGAACTCTTCAAATGAATGTCGTACGTTTGTTAATTTATACATGACCGTCCTTCTATAATACAACATGGTAACCAGCCTGTCGTAAGCCATGACCGAACAGATAAAATGACTGCACAATTTCACTCCACGCACCGCCCTCCTGCAATGGCGTCTTCATTCAGAAACTGATGTTTACTCAACTCATCAAGTACTTCCGTGTCAAGCCTTTGGTTTCTCGCGGCAGCGTGTATAAATATGGCTGTCTCCTGGGTTGTTGCACCGTGTGGTCTTATAGATAATAAGCGACGTTTCAGAGATGCTTACTGCCTCCATCATCAGGGCGATGAGTCGGTACAACATCCAAGCAGAGAGCCATTTTCAAGAACTTCCTCGTTTGTACAAACAATCGAAGTAAGGCTACTTCATCGTCATATGTCGTTCATTTGCGCTGCATGTCTTCCAAATGGTCTCTTCCTTCGAGATTTCCCAGTCAGAATTTTATACACATATCTTGTTTCAGATATGAATACTACATCCTACCCAATCTGATCCATTTTCATTGGATCACTGTAATAATACTGGATATAAGGCAACATTACGAGATTTCTTGTTTTATAAATGTATTAATTTCCCTGTTTATTTATCAAGAGTCCACAAACTGCAATTAGCATTTTGTTCTCAAACACCTTCAACCTCTTTTCTTCCTTTTAGCGAGTCCACTCACGTATAAAACATCACGCAAAATTATACGACACGGCGGTGAAGATACTTAATGTAGTCTAGGATGCAGTTTCTTAGTTTCGGAAGAAAATGAATGCGGTACGTCCTGCGAAAAGTTGATAACGACCTACGACTCAGAACACCACAATCTACAGGGAAAATCATAGTTCTATACATCGCAATGTTTAAATTTTTGGAGGAAAAAGACGATATTATTTCTATCCTAATCAACCGAGTATGTGGAATGGTGTGACGAGACACACAGTTTATACCTAGAGGCACTTCAGTAAATGGCACATTACATATGAGTACGACCCCAACAGAAATCTTAGCAACGGATAACAGAATGACTTACTTCTGTGGAGAAAGAAGTAAAAGTGACACCATTCCTATGCACATCACCTAGTCATTCCTAATAATTGCAGACATTTCTTACACGAGGCCTGAATGAACTACTGGTCCGGTTCCTTGGTTCTGACAGCGCGCCATTACGTTTCAGAATCTGCTGCCGACGAACACGCCGTTAATGACAGGACACCCTGCAGAAACTGGGTGAGGCAACCACTGGAATCGGCTAACTTTAAAATTTTTACTATTTTGTCTTATGATTACATTAATTCACTTTTATTTCTATGTATGTCAAAACCATCTACCAACTGGTGGAAATGTACAAATGTGGTATGCAGAGTGCAGATTTAGGAGAAATAAAAAGGAAATTATAAGGGCATAATTTAAAAAGTTCTGCCCTTTCTTTGGCAATTGGGTCACCCTTAAAACACTGTACAGAATTAACTTCAGCATAAAATAACGTCAGAAAAAAATAATAGTTAATTTATTTTATATTACTATCAATCGGTCTCTCACGACGTAGGTCACTGAACTGACATGTTATGCGTCATTTATTAAGCGTTAACAACTGAAGGAGATAATAAAACCTGCTTTCCCACAATAATAAATTTTACGAAGGACTAAATAAATTCAGGTGAACGACGGCATAGCCTGTTTATTGAGATAGCGTGCGGTTGCAGACATGATTTACCTCAAAGCGATATGTAACAACGGTATAATACAAGATGTGAAGTACAGGGCAAGCGAAAACTTAGCATCCACAATTGTTAATTAGTTGTTTTCATTGTTCTTATCCTTATGATTACAAAAATAGGCTTGGAAGCCTGTTCCGGCTTCAGACC